TCATGATAATATATGGGATGTATCTTAAAAACACTCCAGCAAAGGGAGAAAAAATAGGATGCATAAGACAAATGTGGTAAAATTTTGCTTTTTAATCAGGATGATAAGTATTAATAGTGATTCATCCTATTATTCTCTTTAATTTTTATGTTGAGCATTTTCATACATGATAAAAAATGTTGAAAAAAAATTTTCACTTTTCTAGAACAAATATATATGGCCCTGTAACAACCAACCACATGAAGCATATGCAATGTTCTAGGTACCTCATCCCATCTCCAGTAGAGTCCAGTCACATGTCGTCATACATTTCACCGAATCCTCTGTTCTTCCACATCCAACAGAATATGTTTTAAATTTTCCAAATAAATATTTGTCAAACCTTGTTTAATTTAGGAAATTGCCATCCTCTTCACCATCACTATCTGGACACTTCTGTAACAGACATTTACATATCGTTGTTTCTAAAAGTGAGGCCATGAGGTAAATATAATGAACTTTCAAAATATTATACCAGGTAAAAGAATTCAAACGCAAAAGATGACATATGTTGTGATTCCATTTACACGAAAAGTCCAGAAACAGCAAATCTATAGAGATAGAAAGTAAACTAGTGGTTTCTGGGGCAGGGATTTCAGTAGGCATTTACTATAAACCAGCATGAAGGATCTTACTAGGGTGACAGAAGTGAGCCAAAATTGTGGGGATGGTTGCAGAACTGCATAAAATTACTAAAAACCATTTATTCTTAAGCAGAGGAATTGTATGGTATATAACTGTGCCTCAGTCTGGCTGGGCACAAATAACTGATCTGCCACTTGTACATTCAAACAGGAATGCGCTCTCCCCGGAACTCTCTCCGCCCTCAACCGGGCTCCCGGAGAACCCAAGGGAACTCCACAAGAACTCAAAAGTAGCAGGCGCCTGAGGCAGCAGGAGCCGCCCTATTGCCAGACAGCAGGGGTCCATATACAGCTGAATACACAGCCTGTCTCAATCCAGCATCATCCAGTCACAGCAATTATGCACAGCTTAACTATCATCATCTTAATGGCTGGCATCACCTCTCAATCACTCCTTCTGGCAATGCCAAGCGCCATCCCGACTGGGGGTGGCTCTCAACATAACTGTATTTGAATAAAGTTATTTTTTAAAAAGTTAAATCTAGTAGACTACAAAAAATTTTAAATCATTTATTAGGCATGTAAAATATTTTATACTTTAGAAGAACTACAATTAGCATATCAAGTTGTGGTTTCACAGAAACAAAATAAATTTTAATTTAAAAAAGTTGTGTTCAGTTAAAGAATTAACATAATTAAATTATTTTAATTAATTTACATACTTGGTTTAAATAAAATATCATTGATTACAAACTAGGAGTTTTGACAACTGCTATCCTAAATCATGATTTCTAAGTGATAGAACCTCAGTTTTGCATGTGCGAGTGTTTTAATCTCAGGATCAGAAATAAAGATTAAATAGGATAATGATGATGAAAATGCTTTATAGTATGCCAGACTAACAAAAGAAAATGAAGAAATGACTTACATAAGCAGCTATTTTAATATGAAAGAAATCCTTACAAGGTATGACAGATAAAAAATACTCAGGTGGGGCAGGAATAATTTAATCAATCAGTGTGTTAAATTGCTTGGATGATTTCTTCCTTCAACCAATACCGTTGAGTACCTACTGTGAATTCACCAGGTATCCTTATGTTTGGATCCTTATTTTTGATCCTTGATAGATGCCTAGTTGCCCTTCTCCTGTTTTTCCACTAGCCAAGATACTTTACCATGAAAACTTTCTACTGGATTGAGGTGGATCATCCCCAAGCCCTTTCCTGATTACCACTGGCGCAGATGAAATGGGTTGACATTATTAAAACTTTTACTAATTATGGAAAAAAAGAACACAGTAGTACAGTCAAATTTTCTATTATAGAATTAGGGAACATAAGATTGGAAAAAGAAAGAAAGAAAACATGTTCCTCATCCCAATTAGATTTCAGTTTCTAATTCCTGCCTCGCACACTCCTTGTTCTTTCTAAGGGAATTAGCTAGTATCTCTTACTTGTGCTAAAGAAAACAGTGTGTGCTCAGCGCATTCAAGTCCCATCCCTAAATGAAGATGAAGAGGTCGCTCTATCTGAATCCTCATTCCCCTGGGAAACCACAAAGCACCCTTTCCTCCAATTTCTACATTTTGGGTGGTTCATTTCCAGCAAAGCCTTATTATTACTACCACTTTGACATTAGTTTGGCCCATAAATCTGGAGATTTTGTGCTGTATTCAGATGTTCCCTCAAGTTTTCTGTACTTAGCTATCAGCTATTTGCAAAGGCCATGGGGGAGGGGGAGAAAAACGATCAGAGCAGGGCCCATATCTCTGCCTCACAGCACAGAGTGCAGTTACAAGGTTTTGTTTCATCTCCTGCCAGTTCGAAAAGAGTATGCAAGACACTCTTAACCTTACACCCATGAGCTAAAGGACGCGCCTACGAAGACAGCATGCTTGCCCAAGACACAGCTTAAATTGACATCTGTTCTGGATGACATAAGCTAATTTCTCTCTTTGTATTCCATATCTCTTAGTAAAAAAGAATCATTCCCAGGGGGCAAGAAAGAAATGCACTCATACGAGAGTAATAGACTCGAGGGTGGAAACGGAATGGTTAGTCCTTAGGGAGGCTGGCTTTGCCCCCCTCCACAAGGCCAGGATTTTCTTTGTGCTTTAACTCGGTCAGATTAAGAGTAGCTATGATGCAACCTGTTTGCAGAGTTCCCTTGAGACTTCTCCTGGGTAGTTTCGTGACTCGCCCAACAACATAGCGAATTACTGAAACGCAGCAAGAAAATAAGAAAACGCAAAGCACGTGGCAGACCGGATCTCATGATATTTGGCCCTTCTCCCAACCCGTAGCCGCGCCCTGTTACGACTGCGTGGGCGATTCTCCTATAAAAGCCGGTCTTGGAGCGTCTAGCCGCCACAGTCTCTTCCTGTTTCCAGCGCAGCTGTTGTTGCTGGAACTGTAGTGGCCGCGAAGATGGCGTCTACCAGCCGGTTAGTAAGTCTGGCCGAGCCCGGCTAGCTGAGGGGCGGGCGGTGAGTGCCGGGGATTTCTAGGCCACTTTCCGGGCGGCCGCATCGGCCTCAGCGTCCCGGAGGTATGGGGAGTGGCTGCGGTACTGGCCGGCCGGCCGGCCCGGACAAAGACACTTCCAGACGGCTGGACTGTCAAGGGTGTCGCAGGGGCTACCGAGTTCTCCGTGTTACCGCCCCAGGGTCCTGGATTGTCTTCTCACACAGGTTCTGTCTTCTGTGTGTTCCTGTGTCTGCAGCCCCTGGCCTCGCGTCTTTTGCGAATATTTCCGCTTTTTTATCGTGTCCGTGTTTTTCTACGTTTGCTTTTCGATCTGTGGCCCATCCAACCCTAGGGTCCTAAATTCCTCCTTTCCAAAGAGCGGGAAGCGGATATTTCCAGGCCCCTATCGGTCTGACAGCTAAGAAAGTTGGGGATGTCAGCATTGGTCAACCAGATAGAAACTGATTACCATCCCAGTGGTCCTCCGAAAGTGGAAGCTAAGGCATTTCCGAAGAATTGATTAGTTTCCTGCTAAAGGATGTTTCTACAAATGTCTGCGTACTCTTGAAAATCTTGCCTACAGAAAATTCTTTACGTATTGAGGGAAAGTAATATATTTTTAAAATGTAATGTACGCGTATCTACAGGAAATACATGCAATGTCCTTCGACACAGGCTTTAACCTTGTGACCTGAAAAATGCTTGCAGACCCTAATTATATTTCTCAGTATCACCATGAGCTAGATATTAGTATTTTTGCATATGTGTAAACTGAGTCATGCCAATGTTGATACCCTCCCCCACAAGTTAGTGATAAATGTAGTTTTTAAAATAACCAGTTTCTATTACACAAAATTGGTCTCTATTTAACTCATATTGTACTAAAAGTAGCCAGGGTCTTCAGCTTCTAGAAGGAAGGCTTTGCACAATATTTATTTATTTATTTGTTTGTTTTTGGTTGGGGAGAGCCTCTTATCTGTGAAATTTATCAGTTTCACCTTTGAAAAGCATTGTTCACAAAATAGTAAGCTGAAGAAATCCTAGCTCTTTCTATTCATTGCCAAGACTTACTATTTTATATTTTTGTTTGTTTGTTTGGGGAGCAGCTTTAGTTAATGTCCTATTTGGAAATAACTTAAAGCCAATGACACCCTTGTTTACTGATTCTAATTCTGTGATTGAATGCTGATTCTATCTGGGTGTGGTTCTTCAGGTAAAGCTTCCTTGTAGATAAATGGGAAACTTTAGCTTCCCTAAATTATCCAAATAGTACTTAAATTCTCTTAGTAGATCTGGTAGGTGAATGTGGTCATATTTAGGCACAGTTTTTGTATACAATAGAGCGTGAAATTTTATTTGTAAAATTGGTACGGTAAATAGTATACATGGTAAATTCGTTGATTAGATTCTTTGCCCAAAGAATGCACTCTTTTGTCTTTATTTTCATTTAAAATAATTTTTGAAATTTTTTTTCTATATGTTCAGCTTTTAAATTTATGTGCCATTGCCGTTACTCATCTCTCAAGTTTTTCTGCTTGAGAAAGTGGAAAGTTGTACCTTTCTACAAAGAAATGTAAATGTTAGATTTCTAACTTTAGCATTTTTTGTTTCCCTGAGGAAAATATAGAGTCATTTAGCTATGAAACTGCCTGGCATTTTTACAGAGAACACATTTGAGTTCAAAACTAGGTCTCTACCACTTATTCTGTGACTTCAGGCAAATCTTTTCTGACCATAATCTTTAAAATGGAAATAGTGCCTATTTTGCAGGGCTCTTTTGAAAATTGATAATAATAAAATAAATAAATGTATAGCACTAGATACACAGTGAGCACCCAATACATGTTAGGCATAAAAAGAGGTTTGGGATTATCTGATACCTTGATAGTCTAAATTATTTAATGTCATTGGTGGTATTTTTACCATCCTTCCCTGTTGTTTCTCTTTATTCCTCTATTGCCTCATTTTTTTTTTTTTTTTTTTGGAGTGGGAACAGGGATTGAACTCAGGGGCACTCCACCACTGAGCCACATCTCCAGTCCTTTTTTCGATTTTATTTAGAGACAGGGTCTTACTGAGTTGCTTAGTGCCTTGGTTTTTTGCTGAGGCTGGTTTTAAACTCTTGATCCTCCTGCCTCAGCCTCCCCCAACTGCTGGGACTATAGGTGTACCTGGCTCTACTGCCTCATTCTTGATTCTCCTTTTACATTTGTGGGTAATTTAATTACAAGTTGACTGCTTTAGGATGATTTAATTTTATTTTGGATAGGTAACCTATGGAAAGCAAAAGTGCAGAAGACTTTATAGTAAAAAGGAGTCTTCCTCCTTCTCTACCTCCCAGCCATTTAATTCTCCCTATAGCAGCCATCATTACCAGTTTCTTGGTGTTTTCCTCTTGGTCATATTTTAACAAACATGTTTATAGTTTTAACCTCTCTTCCCTTCCTAAAGTGGCCAATGTAAACCCTGTTTGCAACCTTGCTCTTTCCTTTTTTTATGAAGTTAGCACGCATGTTGTAAGTATAGTTCAGTTATAAAGTGAGCATATATCAACCAGGTTAAGAAATCATATACCACTAGCTGTGACACGACTGAAGTGTTTTTGTGTCCTTAGTCATTACTCCTTCCAAAAGAAAACCACATCCTGACTTCTAATACTGTAGATCTGTTTGCCCATTTTAAAGCTTAAATATTATATGTATTCTGTCTAGTTTCTTGATCAGTATTTTGAGATTAATCCATGTTATTGTGTGTAACTAGTTCATACATTTTACTTCTTTTTTTTTTTGAAAGAGAGAGAAGAGAGAATTTTTTAATATTTATTTTTTAGTTCTCAGTGGACACAACATCTTTATTTTATTTTTATGTGGTGCTGAGGATGGAACCCAGTGCCCCACGCATGCCAGGCGAGCGTGCTACTGCTTGAGCCACATCCCCAGCCGACATTTTACTTTCTTATTCCCATTCTTCCTTCTCTCTACCCTTCATCTAATCCAATGAACTTCTATTCTTTGTTGCTTTTAAATAGTTCATACTTTTTCAATTTTGTATAAAATTCCTACCTTATTCTTCACTTGTCTTGAAGATGCGCACTTTTAGGTTTTCTGTGTATTTTAATAGTGCAAAAGTACTATACCAGTCCCTTGCAGACTCTGTTCCATATAGCTTCCCATTTTATCGTTTGTAATTACTTTTATTTTGGTATCATTTTATTTGTTTTAACAATTTGACATGATTTATACCTGCCTACTATTAACATAGTTTTCTAATAGAAATTTATGGAATAAGTACGAATATAAAGTAATTTCTACCTTATTTTCTCAGAAGATCCAAAATATGTTCTGGCTAGCTCAATTATATAAATGTGAGGTTATAGATGATGATCAGTTTTCCAGTTCACCTTCTACGATGGTAGTTAACATTTTGAATTGTATTTGCTGTCATGAGGAACTTTATCCAACACTACGAATACCTATTTACATACTATAAAAACAATTGATTTTTGTCTTTTATTTTTTTATTATTTATTTATTTATTTTTATGTGGTGCTGAGGATTGAACCCAGGGCCTTGTTCGCGCAAGGCAAGCACTTTACCACTGAGCCACAACTCCAGCCCATGATTTTTGTCTTTTAGATGTATGATTATGGTAGCCATAACATACCAATTTATTGTATTATTTGAAGTGAATTTATTAAAGGGGCTTCAGTAATAGCAAATATTTGTGATTGTGAGGTTTTACTTCCCAGAAATAATTATTAAATTTATGTTAAGTGTCTTTGTTGCTTTTGTTATTTTATTATTTTTAAAATGTATTTGTTCTTTTTAGATATACATGACAGTAGAGTGTATTTGATGTATTATGCATATATGGAGTATAACTTATTTTAACTAGAATCCCATTCTTGTGGTTGTACATGATGTGGAGTTTTTCTGGTCATGTATTCATGTATGAACATAGGAAAGTTATGTCTGATTCATTTTACTGTCTTATTCCCATCCCTCTCTCTTCCCTTCATCTAATCCAATGAACTTCTTTCTTTGTTGCTTTTAAAGCTGATTTGTCAGATAATATAGGGTTTTCTTCCCAAAATTGCTTTCTTGCTCAAGATAAAATGATTGAGCAAATTATTAGTATCACAAGTCTGTTAACTTAGCTTTGAAACCATTTCTTGAATGTTAAAAATTCAATTCTGTATTAGATTAAATCATCAAGTCTTAAGTTCAGCAGAACTGTACCTACCATCTTTCATTTATATTCCTATTGGGTTCTGTGTATGCTTCTAAATCCGTTACTAAGGTGACAAACAGAAAAATAGAAGTCTGAAATGTATTTTCTAATTGAAGAAATAAGTGGCAAGGGTACAAACCAGATGGTTATATATAAACACTGCAGGCTATTAATGGTAGCTAGTTGTTGTTATACTATTGATCAAGATTTTTAAAAATCTTAGTAGCTGGCTCATTAAGAAACACTTGTTTTCAAGCTTTGAAAGCCTTCTATGTCTGCAAGTCAGGAACTACTACAATAAAGGTAATTCTAATGGAATTTACATGCTAATTACTAGATAAATTTGAACTTTGTATCATATAATCTAAATCAGATAGTACTATCTTCATTGATTAAAGTAACCTAAATGGAATGTATACTTTGAATATTTAGCTTAAATGTGCTGAAATTATAGTACTGGAAAAGTGTTCAAAGTCTTTTTTTCTCTCAGAAGACTATTTTGTTACATGTTGCTTGTGAGGATATAAAAATGTAATATTTTTCCATTTAGTTTGGATGCTCTTCCAAGAGTCACATGTCCAAACCATCCAGATGCAATTTTAGTGGAGGACTACAGAGCTGGTGATATGATCTGTCCTGAATGCGGTCTGGTTGTAGGTGAGTAGCTATTATGGTTTTAATAGAAATTACTTAGGATTAGGATACTTTGCTTTTTTTTCTTCCCAAATTTTCTTTTCTTTTTTTAACTTTTCCCCCATAAGTAATTCATATTTTCTGAAAAAAAATTTAAGAGAAATAAGAGTAAAGTAATTCAGAAGTATCATATTTTATTGTATAAACCAATGTGTTTTTCAATGTGAGTGGGAGGTGATCAAAAAGAAATGAAGTCTTTAATCTTAAATTTTTGGTGGGGGTTAAATGAGGGCATGACACTTAATGCATGTCAAAAACAAATAAATTAGTCCAACACTTGTGGGTTTTATATACTTTAGAAAGTAAATAAACATGATTTATTTCAGAGTAATAAAAGTGTATCTGTACTGAGTCTTATTCAGTATCTTTTAGTTAACAAAAAAGATTTGTTATAACTTTTATTTGGAATCATACTTTAAACTAATATTGTTCAAATATTTCTAAAAATTTTACTTTTATTCCTAATATTTAGCTGATCTAGATATGCTGAAGAAATTTAGAGTAGTTATTTTTATGGTAGGCTTATGATGTAATACTGATCAATTTATTGATTTTGTTTTTTGTGTTATTTGGGATGGAAACCTGGGCCTTACCCATACTGGGCAACTCCTGTACCATTAAGCTACATTTATAGTCCTCAGCAGTTCAGATTACTTGAGAATTAAAATGTTAGTAGGATTCTGAGAAGTATAACAGAAACTTTGGTAGAGATGTACTGTGGAATTGTCTTTAAGAATGTCTATACTATTCATCAAAAAAAGCTACTTGCTTGTAGTGAGAATTTTAAAACATACAGAGTTGCTAATAGGAATTGGAATCCATATGCAATTGTATTCTCAGTCAACGATATTAATGACTAATATATTGACATTAGACTAGTTACTGTTCTAAATTATGTAGGTCTTCATTCAGTTTTTTTTTAAAAATACCAATATCTTCAATTTGTGTGAAGTGAACACCAATATCCTCAATTTACAAATGAGGAAACTGAGGTTTAGGTAGTCTTGCTGTCTGGCTCCCTAATGTACATAGGAGCCAGATTTCTGTCCTGCATTAATAAAATTATTTCAATTTCGGAATGGCAAACATGAGTCAGCACCTGTTTTTTATATGGCCTGCATGCTAAGGAATGACTTGACTTTTGTGGGGGGGGGGTGCTGGTTATCAGGGATCGAATTCAGGGGCACTCAATTACTGAGCCATATTCCCAGACCTTTTTCACATTTTATTTAGAGACAGGGTCTCACTGAGTTGCTTAGCGCTTTGCTGTTGCTGAGACTGGATTTAAACATCCATCCTCCTGCCTCAGCCTCTCAAGCTGCTGGGATTACAGGAGTGTGCTCCTCCACACAGCATGACTTTACATTTGTAAATGGTTGAGAAAAAAATAATATTCTTTTGGAACACAAGAAAAATAATATCAAATTCAAATTTCAGTATCCATAAATAAAGATTATTGGAACACAGCTACACTCACTTGCTTTCACATTATAATAGCAGTTTATTAGTTGGAGCAGAAATCATATGTGTTGCTCTCGTTACTTGTTTCAGCTACTCGGCACACAACAAATCACAACAATGCAGTTATAACTCAACAGTGTTTTGAGTGCCATGCATATTGCCATAATGCAACATTTATTTACTTGTATTACATTGCATACCCATCATGTCAAAACAAGAAAAGTGAACTATGAATGTCATGCTTTTAAGTCACAGTGGCATGTGAATTATTTTGTTATTGAGTTAAGATAACAATGCTTTGTGTTTATTACATAATGATACTGTGCCTGTGCTAAAAGACTTCAATGAACATAAATATTACCATGTAAAACATTTAATCACAATATTCTTAATTCAGGAAAACAATAGTCATGAAAAAAATGTAAAATAGAATATTTGATTACAGTGGAATTTCTTCACAAAAATAAAAGAATAAAGGTGAGGCTGCAACTCAAGTAAGTCTTGAAAGGTTTGCTTTACTTGAAAGGCTAAGTAATAAAAACCATTTATTAATGATAAGTTAATTAATTTGTATTGGATTGCAACAGCTGAAGAAATGTGTCCAGAGAAAATAAATTTATTTAAGATTGTTAGCTTTGCAGCAAGAACAGTTGCTTAAAGAGTTGAGGACATTGATAAACAACTTTAGTGAAATCTTGTCTCTAAATACAAAAAACTGGGATATGGTTAGTCCTTAAGTGCCACTGGGTTCAATCCCTGGTATTAGAAATAAATAAATAATAAAGAAAGAAAGAATTGAGGACATTAAGAGCATCTCCAATAGTTAGTTAAAAATCAAGGCAAAAAAAATCAAGGAAAATTATTTCAAGTATATTTTCTTTGCTCATGGTAACTATACAGGTGTTACTAATACTGTTCAGTAGTTTATTCATGTCAATACTGAGATTGAAATGACAAGAATTCACTTCCATGAGTTGTCTGCATGGAACAAAAATAGGAGAAAATAATTTCAAAGAAGTTGTGAAAATACTAATTCAATACTACCCAATGGAATCTCCTAAGGTGTGTTATACCTGATAGTGGTAAATGTATATGTGGATCAGAAGACATATTTGGACAAAAATTTTAAAGATTATGAAAATGTAACATGCTTAAGGTCTGTGATTATTAATTATATTATTCATTAGCAGGTACTTTGTAGAAAAGATTTTAATCTGTTTTTTGTTAAACCAGTAGTGTTGACAGTTAACTTCATTCATTCTCATGGACTTAATAATTCTGCATATTTATTTTTTGTTAGAAATGTCCTAACTTGCCATACCACATACACAATTTAATAGCTTAGTAGTGACAAAGTTGCGCTATTTGTTTGAGTTCACGTCCAAGGTTGAAATCTTTCTGAATCATGCTGCATTCAATTACTACTATTGAATATTCAGTGACTTTGGAAATTAGCTTTTGCTGTAAACTTACATGTTAATTTATAGATTAATATTATTGAATTCTACTTAGAATAGCAAGGAAAAACAGTGCTTATATATGAAACGTGTACTTATAAAGTCAGTTTGACAATAGCTATCATCATTGGAATCAAAATAATGTCAAATTGCTTTTATATATTTCCAAGTGCTGTCAGAAGTTAACACAAGAAGATGTTTCTTACCACACAGATAAGCAGCTGATATGTTTTTTGAGCTCAAGCTATATTTTCAGCAGTGTTTGTCAGACCTGGATGAAAATATAAAGGGGATATTTATGTTTCAAAATACAATTACCTATGTAGTTAAGAAACTTCTCTGACCTTAAATTGAAAAGATAATCACAATGGAGACTGAAACAGGAGGATCTCAAGTTGCAGACCAACCTGGGCAATTCAGGAGATCTTGTCTCAAATTTTAAAAAAGACTAGAGATGGTAGAACACTCTTAATAATGTGTGAGGGTTTAAGTTCAATTCCTAGTACCACAAAAAAAGAAAAGAAAAAGCAACTAATGGACAGTATAACAACATGAAAAGGAGAATACCAGAAGAATGTAATGAAATCTATAAATGCCTTCTAAGCAATAAATATGCTCAATTAAAATTATATGCTTGTCATCACTATTGATCAGTGCTTGAGAGGTGAACATTTGTGAGTGACTTTGATGACAGGAAACACTAACTTTGAACTCCAAGTAAGTAATGGTATGTTGAACAAAAATAATTTTCATTGGAAGATATGTATTAAAATAAATGTCACTCAATTATTTTAAATTTCATAAATAATGAATTAGTGATTCTTCTTTTATATAAATGCCTGCATAATATCCTCAATTTTGCCTTTTGACCCAGAACTATATCTACTGTATGGCCCTTTGTAGAAAATGTTTATTAACCCTCGAGTTAAATTTGTGCATTTTAATTCTTCCAAAGTATTAATACAGAATTATTAATTTGTAAGAGTGAGAAAGAATTGAAATTGAAGATAATTTTGCTTCTTAACTCTTACTTCTGTAACGTTTAAAAAGAAATAGGGCAAAAATGTTTCATTATAGTTCCAGCCTTTCATCAGCCTCACTTCAACTTCAGTCAGCATGATAGTTGGATAAGGTTAATCAATTAGAGAAAGAAGATATAATTCATAAGTTTAAATGCTTTCTTGTACTCATATTCCTCATTTTTACTTGCATTTTTCTGTTACACCAAGCTAAAGGAAATGATGTTTATTTTAGCTTTGCCTTGAAACTCCAGTACCAGAACTATATTTTGTTTCAGCCTAAGCTATTAGGTAAAAATTTTAGGTCAGAAATTTTAAAAATGTAACTATATAAGATATTCTTTTTGTAACTTATAATTCTTATTCTTTCTTGTAATTTATAGCTGTATATCCTCATGATACTGGTTCTTCTGAGATAAAATGTAACTGTTAAAATATGCAATAGGCTCTTTGTGATAAAATATGTGAAATGTCTTTCAAGTCAAGAATTTCTTCTGGACTGGGGCTGTGGCCTTGCAGTATGAGGCACTGGATTCGATCCTCAATACCACATAAAAATAAATAAATAAAGATTTTTTTTTAAAAAAGAATTTTTTCTATGACCAAACAAGGATAGGTGGAGAAGAGTTTACAAAGTTCCGTTTTACTGAGAATATTATCAAGCAAATTAAGTTGAATACAGTTTAATTGGAAATGACATTCAATGTGTATACACACATATTATTGTCAGTCAATAATAAATTTAGATACTATCATACAAGCAATTGAACTTTTATCATTTCACAGTTTAAAGGCATATATTCTTTGTTACCAATTCAATTCAGTCTTATACCTGTTATGCTAAGGAAACAGAAAATAAATCAAACTGGGCAAAACTTTTGCAACCTATTAATGGTATAATATCTGGGCCTTTTTTCATATTTGAGATACTGATAGTCACAGGAATTTCAATCCAGACAACAATCATCTTCTTGTGTTAGTATACATGGTGTGATTATTTTTGCCATAAAAAAGTTTAGATTGTCTA